GACATAGGAGAGCCCCGACCACGGTGGGTGGTGCCTTCTCTGAGCAGGTGGGCCTGGGATGTATAAGTAAGGTAGCTGAACATGAGCCTGGGGAGAAAGCCAATAAGTAGCGTTCCTCTGTTGGTTTGTGCTTCAAGTCCCTGCTCAAGCATTGGCTTCCTTCCATAATGGAGTATAACCTGTAAGCTAAAATAAACCTTTACCTCCCCCAGTAGATTATGGTCAGTGTCTTACCACACCAACAGAGAAGAAACTAGAACAGGACTGACTCTATGGAAGAAATGAGAAATCTCAGCTTGAATATCAACCTTTTTTTTTTTTTTTTTTTTTTTTTTGCATAAAAACATCCTCTATCTCAAAGAGCAGAGAAAGTCAACACTATATTCTTTTGAATAGGTTTTCTCATCTCTGTGGTGGTGAATGTAAATGACCCCCACAGGTTCATAGGGAGTGGCACTATTTGAAAGGATTGGGAGGTGTGGCCTTGTTGAAGCAGGCGTGGCTTTGTTGGAGGAAGTGTGTCACTGGGGGTGGGCTTTGGGGTTTCCAATGCTCTCTCTTCCTGCTGCCTATGGATTGGGATGTAGAACTCTCAGCTACTCCAGCACCAAGTCTACCTGTGTGCTGCCTCACTTCCCACCTTGATGATAATGGGCGAAACCTCTGAACTGTAAGCCAGTTTTCTTTAAAGAGTCGCTGTGGTCAGAGCTGGAGAGATGGCTCAGCAGTTAAGAGCACTGACTGGTCTTCCAAAGAACCCAGGTTCAATTCCCAGCACCCACATGGCAGCTCACAACTGTCTCTAACTCCAAGATCTGACACCCTCACAGGGACATACATGCCTGCAAAACACCAATGAACATAAAATAAAAATAAATAAATGATTTGTAAAAAGACTTGCCATGGTCATGGTGTCTCTTCACAGCAATAAAACTCTTAATCTAACGCAAGCTCCAAACACGCTGACAAGCAGTAGCACCAAGCCCTCCTCAGTCAATATATGCATATATTCCCTGGGATTTTCCCACCTTCCTATACTTCCCAACCTCTCAATATCACAAGGCACAGAAAGAACAAAAGACTGGAAGACCTGGAGCTGGGCATTAATTAACTAACTAATCAATTCCATACCCTCTTTTCCTCAGAGGAAAATATGCCCAGATGTTCAGATCTGAGACTCTGCAAGAGCCTCACCAAACTGGATTGACTTTCCAGACAAAGGGAAACTTCTTGTCTTCTTGGGCACAAAAAGGATACAGTCGGCTTGTCGAGAGCCTAGTTGGATTTTGCTTTCGATGTCTTCTAGCAAATCAAAATCTGGTAGCATCAGGTGTCTGCGTACTGTGATGTTCTGATATTGGTCGTCATCAGCAAGGGCATTCTCAGTGCTGTCTGTTCCAAAGAGAACTAAAGCAATCTCATCCTTGCTCTCAGAAAAGACCTAGGGTGGAATATCCAAAGGTTGAAGTCTGTATTCGAGCATCCTGGAAGGAAGAGGACACCTAACCTTCAGGGAGCAGGAAGGTCATACCTCACTAGGCAGGTCCCCAGGGCCACCCAATATTAGACTAAATGAACATGGGACTTACTAGCAAGGACAATTAGGCTGTAAGCAGACTTTTCCTAATTTTTAAAAACCATTTTATTATTATATATAGATGGGTGTTTTGCCTGTGTTTATGTCTGTTCATGTTTGTGCCTGGTATTTCCGAAAGAGTATGGTTCATCCAGAACTGGAGTTATAGATGATTGTGAGCCACCATGTGGGTGCTGAGGACAGACCCCAGGTCCTCTGAAAGAACATCCAGTGCTCTTAACCTCTGAGCCCTCTCTCCAGCTCCTAAGCAGATATTTCATTATCTGTACGTCTCACTTTTCATTTCAGCATAAATAAGCATGCACACTTCATTCTCTTTCTGCTCTTGACTTTATGCTAGATGTGACTAGCAGTTTCCAGTTCCTACTCCATTACTTCCTCAGATCCACTGCTCTAGCCTGGGCCAGTGAACTGAAATGAACCCTTTCTCCTCTAAGTTATAGGTTTTTGCTGATTTGTTTTTCTTTATACCCAGCAACAGAAATTAAACTAGGACAGCTGTTTTGGGGGCAGGGATTTTTCCTATAACCCAGACTGGCTTGCAACTGGCTGTATTAATCTGAAACTTACCTGTCGTTGGACAAACATACTCATCACTTTCTTTGCTTGTTCAAATGGAGATTCTTCTCCAGGAAAGGAGTTACCCATGGCAACGCCCACATCTAGACACAGCACAACAGCTGCCTAGAAACAAGTCCCAAAAAGTACCCAAGGGGGAAAAAAAGAAGTTATTAGCAAAGATTCTGAAATGGGTCTGTAGAAGAGGAATGATAAGGAAAGGGGGCATGTGCTACAGACACAATGCATGTAAGACATATAACATTCCACTCTGGAGAGCCTGTGAAGGGGCATAATGTTCCCTAAAGGCCAGCTAGGTGGAAGAGTCACTCATGTGAGTAATGAAGTTAGTCATAAGCAACCGCACCAGCCCATTAAATAGCAATCATACATTGGGGGCTCTCTAGAGTTTCTTTTCCTATTGCTATGATAAAACATCCTTGACGAATGAGGAAGAAAGCCTCTATTTTAGTTCACAGTTCCAGTTCACCATAGTGAGGGAGTCAAGGCCCTCACGGCAGCTGGTCACATTACATCCAATCAAAAGAGAAAAATGAATCCACACAAACTAGTGCTTGGTTTGCTTTTTCCACTTCATAAAATCCAGAGACCAGGTCAAGGTCATACCCATAGTTAAGAAGGGTCTTTCCATATCAGTTACCATAACCAAGACAACCTGCCTGCAGGCAGGCCCAAAGGCCCGTCTCCCCTGTGCTTCTACAGTCTGTCAAGTTGATGATCAATACTCTATCCCAGGGACTAAAGAAATGAAACAGGCCAAATGCAAAATGGACGTATATGAAGCTCCTTGTATTTTGCACACAAAATTCATTCAAACATAAATTTCAAAAGACCTAAGCTAATAACTTGTCATTTTAAAGTAAGTTAAAGATTGAGTCAACAAGGTGACACAACTTCAACACTCTGTCCTCACAAACATGTGAAGTTGTATCAACACTATAATATATTTAAGAAAACCAAAGGTCTTTTGAAAAAAATAAACAAACAAACAAAACCTAGATTAGCAATCCAGAGACATGGGCTCTAGTCCCATCTCCACTAATTAATTAGCTTTGACCCCTTAGGAATGACATTTAACCTCGCTGTTAACTCAGTCAGGTATGAAACTGTTGGACTCGATCCTACCAGTCTCATCTGTGCTTTGTGCTGCTCAGACAAAATGTGAGCAGTACTAGGCATCATATCTTACGAGAGAAAGATTTAAAAGGGACCGGTGAAGAAGGCACTCTCTGAGTCAGGGATCAATCTGTCTCTAGAAGGGTCTGAAAACCCTGGATGAGCTCCTATATTAGGGAGATGACTCCTGAATTTGACTTCTTTTCACAGCACACACAGGAAATAATATTTTCCCTTAGTTCATAAAAAATGGGACCCCATGATGCAGTGATGTTAACAGATTTCAGAAATAATGACAATTTATTTGGGGGTGAACAGTAATAAACTACAGATGACCTTTGAGAGGAATTCAATTTACACCCCACAGGGATTCCCTCAGCATAAAAATCTTTTTTAAAAAAGTAAGAATCACAAACACAAGCTAGATATGCTTATTTAATACATGTCCACAAAACCTACTTTTAAACTAGCAAACACTAAAGGACCAAAGTCTTTTGTCAAGAATTAGAGATTCAGAAAAGGGCATCAAAGAAGTTCACAGTATGAAAATACTGGTCTGCAAGAGTGATCTGTGATACTTTCAGTTCTTTTCTGGAAGCAGTAAGAAAATCACTGGAGACTGGGAAAGTATAGCAACTCTTCATTTCTACACTGAAGCAATATAGCCAGGATTTTCACTTCAAGGACATCTGCCACAAATAAGCCCTTCACGGGAGCTACAAAGTTTCCAGAACTGAAAGAAGAACAAAGGATGTGAGTAACATCATAATGAATTCATAATTTAATCAAGACTTCCCAAATGGGCGTGGAGGAAAACAGATCAGTTATTCAAACCCCTATCTTGTTTGCCTGTTTTAAATGAATGGGTGAATAGATGAATGAATGAATCGCAATTACTCTCTGGTGATCAAAATGTCACTTTAAAGCTCACTGTAATTTCCTTTATTAATCTAGGAATGCAGGGGTGGGTCATAGGTACTTTGCAATGCAGCAGATCCCCCCCCCCACCCCTCAGAGCTCTGAAAAATGGTTTGGGTTCATATCCGTATTTTACCACCTATGAAAAGGGTGACCAGGTTCTAATCACTTCAGTTCTTTGGGCCTTGGCTCTCGTACTTACAAGCTAAAGACAATAATGTTCATCTCAGGGACTGGTGTGAAGATTTAATGAAACAGGAATAAAAGGCTTACTTCTGTGCTTCACACAGTAAGCTTTCAATAAATTCGAGGTACTAAATTATTATGAAGGTGATAGTATGTCACTATATTTTCAGTTATTTTATTCACAGAATTCCTAGGCCTGTTACATAGGGGATGGTCCTGGATGACTTATATAAATTCTTTTATAGAGTTATAAGAACCCAGGTTCAGAAGCGGTAAGGGGCGCCTGCGTTAGCAGGTGGCGTGGATAGAAAGTAGAAGGAGGGCAGCTAGGGAGGGAGGATGAGGAGCGGGTGAGGCAAGAGGGAGGATAACGGGGGCGTGAAGGTGGACAAGACTCAAACGCAGAACTCCAAATCCCAAGCATTCCGCTATGGGCATCCATCTTCGGTGCTCGCACAGCTGCGACCCCACAGTTCCTGCTACCGAACCACCCTCTGCACATCCCAGGCTTGGGTAAGGCACAAAACCCAACTCTCTCAGTACCTTATTAGCGGACCACGCCATGTTGCTGGTCCACGGGCGGTTCGGTTACTTTTTTTTCCGGACGGAAACCTACAGTCACTCAACTCAGTTCCGGACGACTCACGGGCCTCAACTTCCGGCTCTGCGGGCAAGGGGCGGGGAAACACGGGCTGTGAGCATGCGCGTAATTCTCTCCCTGCCTTCCCAGGTAAGGCTTTGTTCTCTCTGAGCTGCTAAAAACGCTGGTACTAGGCTGGCGAAGTGACTCAACCGGTGAAGCCACGTGTCGCCAAGCCTAACACGTAAAGGCAAAACACCAACGCATGTAATAAATAAGTAAAATTTTTCAAAGAAGGAAGGAGAAAAAAACCACCTAAAAAGTAGCCTCTGCTAAGAGACTTCCTTGATAGCCTGGAGTAGCTGTGGCTGCAAAAGTTCAGGAAGCCTAGGAATGGGTCTTTCTCTAGAAAGGGAGGCTGCTGATTACAGTGAATGTTTGCCACTCTTTTGCAAGGACATCGCCTTTCCTTCTGGTGATCAGACATTTCCTGGGGAGACATAAGGCACACAGAGAGGGAGCCCATGACAAAGTACGGGATACCACCAAGTCCAACTTGGTGAACCGATGAGTTTTATTGTGGGGTTTGAGTTGTGTATCACCATACCTGGCTCTAGTGCTCTTTTGAAAATATTTCAGTTTTATAAGTCTCTAGGTCAAGGTTGACCACCATGTCATTTCATGTTGGTATCCTTTGCGTGGGTTCTCACCCTCGCCCCAATGTCATCATGTTCCTCTACCCTTGTCTTAATCATGACTATTTTTGTCTTTAATCATTGGTTTCCCTAACCAATGTTACTGACATAGATGTGATAAATGTAGTAAATGTGGCTGCATTTTTTTTAAAATAAGAGTTGGGGGGGGCGGACACCTGGATAGATGGCTCAGAGGTTCAGAGCACTGGCTGCTCTTCCAGAGAGCCTGGGTTCAGTTCCCAGCAACCACATGCTAGCATCCAACCAACTATAATGAAATCTGGTGCCCTCTTCTGGCCTGCATGGACACAAGCAGGCAGAACACTGTATACATAATAAATAAACTTAAAAAAAAAAAAAAAAAAAAAAAAAGTTAGGTTAAAAGGTGACTGGAAACAGTTCGTCTAAATAAAATTCCCATAATTCTGTGGTACACAGGAAGCCAGAACATAGATCCCTTACTGAGATCATCTCACTCCCACAGGACCGCCAATGGGCCCACCTTTCTGTGAATACTGTGGCATTCAAAGCTATTTGGGAGAACCTCAAAAACAAAGTAAGTAAATGGTAATCAGATGCTATTATTTTTATTTTCACTTAAATTATTCATATCTCTGGAAATGCACCAGGGAGCACCACAGCTATTCTCAAAAATACTGGACACATCCCCCCCCCCATAACAGGATTGTTTTCTTAATTCTCTGAAAATGGAGTTCAGCACCGTACATTAAATGAATGTCGCTGTTTGGCATTTGGGGAGCTTGAGCCAACTGTCTAGTTCAGTTCATGCTGATTCCTCGAAGCATTTGTTTCTGAGACACAAAGAAAAATTTTGATCAGCACCCCTTCTTGTAAGAACCCCAACTCCAAAACTCGCTGATCTCTTAGGACTTAACACTTTGAAACCAGAACACTTAAAAATAAAGTTGTTATTTCTTCCATTCGGGATCTTTTCATCTGGATTAATTAGTGACCTTACTCCTGCCAGAGGAGCTTTGTGCTAGAAAGGTCTGATTGAATAAGGCTCCTGGGTTTGAGCAAAGCTAAACATGGTTTTTGTTTTGAGCTACTAATCCCTGCTGGGTTTGTGCTAGGAAGATTCTCATTCTCTTTCTCTCTCTCTCTCTTTCTCTCTCTCTCTCTCTCTCTGTCCTCTCTCACTCTCCTCTCTTGCTCTCTCCCCCTCCTCTCTCTTCTGTCTTTATAGATTAAATACTGTCAATCCCTGTTCCCCCTTCCTTTCCAGGAAGAATTACACTGTGGTTATGTGACCATATGCTCCTATCTAATGGGTTTCCCAAAGAAACCTGAAACCACATGACAAAAGCTAAGTTGCCGAGTACACAAGATGCTACTATCTAAGGCATATGCATAGTGTATGTAGTTCATATCTATGTATAAATTCTCCTTGTAATACTAGGGCCAAAATAGTTAAATGAATAAATGCATACATAAATAAAGCTGTATTAGTAGTTTAGAATTCTGAATTATCTAAATACCTATCATAAGACATGGATTCTTGCCCACCTACCAAATAGCTATTCTCTCCTTTTTCACAAATTCACATAACCCCAATATCGTCTAGGAATATAGTTACCCACATAAAAGATATCATTTCCCAGTATCTTTTGATTATGAGGTCATGTGACTATAGTGTGGTCAATGACATATAATAAATATTGATGGGGCTTTGTGCCCTCCTTTATTTCTTCTGTATTCTCCAGAAACACTGCAATGGCAGCTAGAATGTAGTCAGCATTTGAAAACTGAAGATGAGAGCACCGAGGGCCACATTCCACCATCTAGTGAACTCCAGATGACATCATAGCGTCTTGGGATGGTCCGCCTCCAGACATCCATATAAGACGGAAATAGATTTCTCTCTTGTTTAGTTCACTGATGTTTGGGGCTTTAATTATATGCAGTTCTATCTAAACATAAATGATGCACACAGTCTTCAAAATAGTAGCCTAGTTACCTAAATGTTCCACTCCGTCTCCAGCTACTCTCTTGGTGGATTTGGTTACCCCTGAGCCTCTTTATTCTTCCTGTCACATTTAGGCACATACTTCCCTGGATTACAGGCACCAATAACACTGTCAGGCCCCTGAAGGAATTTACAGTGGATCTTCATTTCCCAGATGAATGGTCATTTCAGGGCAACGAGTCAAGACGCACTTGTATATCAGATGAGCTACTTTGGCACAAGTTACTTTTCTGTTTCCTGCCTTCTTGGAATAATGAAGACGGTGGGCGGACCAGTGCAAGCTAGGATTTTCCAGGACCATAGAAGGGATCAGATAGTTTAAGGAAGGAACCTGCTAGAACTATAGAATGACTATCAACTACTTGAGAAAGAAGTCTCTGGTGGTTTAGACAGAGGAGGTTTCCACTCCCTGGATGGGGTCCTTGTTGGAGAGATTGCCTGAGACATTGTCAGACTCCAACAGCTCCACAATGCTGTAGGGAGAACAATCCTCCAGACCCAGCTTGCTGCAAAGCCAGCCACAGAAGCCTTTCTCCATGTCACAGGCAGCTCGCCACCACGCTCCCCAGGACCATGAGAGCTGGACTACAGCAGCATAGAGCCCCAGGGAGGATGCCATGGCCATGATGAGCACTGGATAGAGGAGAATGAGACAGGGACAATAGGAAATCTTATGCCAGAAGGTCCTTTCCTCATTGTACACAAGGAAGATGTTGTACCAGGTGATAGTGCCATAGTAGAAAGACACGACGAAAGAAAGGAGGAAGACCACAGGTAGGCAGACCAGTGTCCAGAGAACCACATGTGGGCCCTGGTCTGCCCCCACTTGGCAGGCCCTCCTTCCCTCAGGGGCTGTTTCCCTTGACAGCTCCTTGGGTTTGGTCAGTTCCTGAAGCTCCTTCTCTGTCAAAGTGACATGGATGTCTACCATCTGACCCTTTTTCTTCCCTCGTGTAATGGTCCCCGTTAGTGTGACGTAGCGGCTGTCCAAAGGCATGTTCCACACACCTGCAGTGCACAAAGAAGACGAGAGTCAAGAACTGAGGAATGCATGTTTCAGCTCAGTGCCATCCTAAGGCTGGACCTGAGTAGGAGCAGTAGAACCAGGGAGTCGGCCGCAGACTTAAAATGGATCTCCCTTGGAGGGCAGTATCTGCTATTACCACTCCCACAGAGACGGACGGCACCATGTGTGGGCCCTGACAAAACTCCAAGCAAGATTAACTTGTTCTTCCTGAGGTCTCTCCATTGGTCTGGACCCCAGCCTTGACACGGTCTCAATAGTCTCCACCTTATCATGCCCCTGTTTCTGGTTAACAAGTGCTATGGAGGCATTATTTATAAGTACAACCTGTGCATAAAATGTGTGTATATAGGTATACACAATGAGGGTATAGTCCACACCCTCCCTTCTCATGGCTAGTCCTGTGTTTCCCTGAAATGTTTCTCTCATGCCTGTACACACCCCCAGCTCTTATATTTAAGCTATAAATAACCCGTTCACTACACACACACACACACACACACACACACACACACACACACACCATATGATATCTATAAACAATATGTCTGCCTTGCTTCACAGTCCCCCTTAACTTCCACAGTTCTCAGCCCTCTATAAGCCCTTGCAAGACATACCCGGAGCCAGCCTGGCTTCCCTTGCTGATCTTTCACCATCATCCCCTTGGCTCTCTCCACACTCTAACAAACACCCCCTCCCCATCAGTAGGCCACTGTTGCTCTCCCCTCAAGACCCTTACTGTTTTCCAAAAGTAAACAACAAAACAAAACTCTTCCCCACATCTTTCTTACCCGGCTCCTTCATGTTACTTGGAGGAGTTCAAATGTCACTTCTTTCTTAAGATTTATTTATTTATTATGTATGTACAGTGTTCTGCCTGCATGTATGCCTACAGGCCAGAAGAGGGCACCACATTTCATTACAGATGGCTGTGAACATCATGTGGTTGCTGGGAATTGAACTCAGGACCTCTGGAAGAGCAGCCAGTGCTCTGAACCTCTGAGCCAGGCCCAAATATCACTTCTTTAGAGAGGTCTCCTGTGACACAAAAGTCCCTCCATCAGTTTCCATCGCCCCTCTGTCGTGGTTTTGCTATCTTTGGAACTAATGTCCCTCCTGAAGTCAACTTTTCACTGTCTGCCTTCCCAGGGTAGAAGGTCAGCTCCATGAGAGCAGGGACACTTCTGTTGTTCACACTGAGTTTGTGAGACTTAGCATATACCCTTCTCTGCACAAATAGTCTGTCCATTGCTACACAGTAATTCTTAAGACAGAGAACCAACAGGCTCCCTAATGGCAACAAATGTCCTTATACAGGCAGAACACAGACATAAATTTCATGGTGGAGATACTAAGAATGTTTGTGACATGCAGTACACATACTTTGAATCTTAATAAATATTGACCAGTTCCTACAGTGTGGTTGAAGTTACTTTAATGAGGAGTATGAGAGTATATCTAGTTCCACACAATGATGCTATCATATTTCACACAAATTTTGACAATCCTGAATGTGAAGGAATACTGTATCTCACTGATACCATAATTAATAGTCTGTGCTGGCTAATCTTATGTCAACTTGACACGCAAATTAGAGTTATCTGAAAGGAGGGAACCTCAATTGAGAGAAAGCCTCCGTAAGATATGAGTGTAAGGTATTTTCTGGTTTTGCCTGTTTGTTTTGTTGTTATTTTGTTTTTGAGACATTGTTTCTCTGTGTAACCCTGACTGTACTGGAACTGGATCTGTAAACCATACTGGCCTCAGACTCTCAGAGATCCACCTGCCTCTGCCTCCTGAGTGCTGGGATTAAGACATGCACCACCAGTGCCCTGCTAAGTGTTTTCTTAATTAATTATTGATGGAGGAGGGTCCAGCCCATTGTGGGTGGTTCCATCCCTAGGCTGGTGGTCCTGGGTTCTATAAGAAAGCAGGTTGAGCAATCCATGGGGAGCAAGCTAGTAAACAAGACCCCTCCTTGGTTTCTGCATCAGCTCCTGCCTCCAGGTTCCTGCCCTGCTTGAGTTCTTGTCCTGACTTCCTTTGCCGTTCTTGTCCTGACTTCCTTTGCCGATGAACAATACTGTGGGAGTATAAGCCAAATAAGCCCTTCCCCCCCCCACTTGCTTTTGGTTATGGTTTTTGTTGCAGCAGTAGAAACCCCAAGACATAGTCTCTTCTGACTCAGAACCCCTGAACATGGGTCTCAGCTAGAAGGCCTGGGCAGTCTAAGGGAAACTCTGACAGTGGAACCAGGATGTATTCCTGGTGCACAAAAGGACTTTGAGAGTACATCCCCCATGGAGGGATACTGCCCTAGCCCCTACTCCTAATGGCTTGACAGATTTAGATGACCCCGCCTGGAAGGCATCACCCTACATGTGTGGGGGGGTGATGGGATGGGAGGGTGGTCGGGGGCATGAGAGGGTAGGAGAGAGGAAAAGAGGGAGGGAAGGAGGGAAAGGGAACTGGGATCGATATGTAATATAAAAATAATAATAATAAAAAGACAGTCTCTTGATTTGGAAGTGGTGGTTTGTAGTGGTTTTATTTTTTGAGATATGGTCTCATTGTATAGTCTAGGATAACATCCAATTCATGACCCTTCTGCCTCAATCCAAGCCTCCCAAGTGCTGGGATTATAGGTGTAAGCCACCACATCTGGCTGCATTTTCATAATTATTATGAAAGCTAACAACTGTTGCTCTTTATCTCACATATGTTAGGTAATTAGTCTATAAATCAGCTTCGTACACTAGCAGTTGTGAAAGGGTGGAGATACCATCTCACCTAGAATAGAGTGTTGCAAGCTTTAAGTGCCGCTGTCTTTTTAATTAATGAAGGCTCCAACACCTCAAAAAATGCATCACCTGAAAGAAAAAGGCTAGTGAGCAGGTGCCTGTCTCCTGGAGGGTGGGCTGTGATTTGGTTTTCTTCCTATGACTTTGAACAAGAGGATCTAGGCAAACTCACCATCATCTATGGGGTAGTCCAGGAAGTCCTCCCCCTCCTCCTCTTTTGGCCGATCTCCACCTTCTGATTCTTCAGGTTCCTCATCCATGTTCTCATTATCTGACCGGTAGATGATGATGGATTCTGGGCGAGACTCTTTCCTCTTCTTCCTCCTGTGACCCATTGTGGACTCCCCATCCAGGGCCAGGGCAGCAGCCACGGCTCTTCTCAGTGAGCCATGGTGGGGGCTCGGTAGCTGGCCCTGGCTTTCTGCTGGTGCTGACTCTTCCATCCCAGTCCTGAGAACTAGCCAAGCTCACGTTAGAAGAACTTGGCTTGCTTGAGCAAACTCAAGCTCCATGCATCACACAGCTTCTACTTGGAAAAGACTATGTAAACATGCCCCCCAAGGGTGCATTCGACCTGAAAGACAGAAAGGCAAAGCATCAGCTAGAATCAAAGAGGGCAGGCTGGAGAGAAACTGGGAAATCAGCAGAGGAGGGAGGGGCCCATAGAAACCCTCTTTCAGTAACATATGTATGGTATTATGAAAAAACTCATCAGCCCCATTAAAGGGTATGGAGTACAAGAAAGTTAGTGAGAAAGTCTATAGGCAGGTAGATGGAGATTGACGTGGCTGGGGCCAGTATTTTGTACTTCTGACTGCCAGAATACATTCCAACAATATCCAAATGGAAGAAGAGTAGTGAAACCTCTCTAACCGACTCTACCCTGCTATGTGAGAACCCTGCTTCCTAGCGAGTACAATAGGCTCTCAGAAAGTTAACACTCCATATTTTTTAATGCAGGTAAACCAGAAAGAATGGGGGGGGAACACCTTATAGAGGAAATTTGGGCACACTACTTATATTTGCAAACTAAACTTGGGCCAATATTGATTTTCTAGGCCAGTGGTTCTCAACCTTCCTAATACTGTGACCCTTTAATACGGTTTCTCATGCTGTGATGACCCCCCCAAGCATAAAATTATGTTTGCTATTACTTCATAACTGTAATTTTGCTACTGTTATAAATTGTAATGGAACTATCTATCTGATTTGCAGGATATCTGATATGCTATCCCTGTGAAAGGTTTGTTTGACCCCCAAAGGGGTCACTATACACAAGTTGAGAACTACTGTTCTAGGAGTTCAGAAGCTTTATCTGGAGCTTAAAATGTTAAGCCAAGCTGGGCACTGGTGGCACCAATACCCCTAAAACTGTCCCCTGTCATATACAACTCCTTCCCAACACACACACACACACACACTTTTAAAACATCACAGTGTTAATGTTCTGTGTAATTTTAAAAGCCATTCTTAAACATTATTATTAATTAAACTAACATAAATAGGAATCTGTTCAAATCTCCTTGTTCTAACAAATCATTTTGTCTATAGCAGCGCCACCCAATGGAACTTTCAGCCATTGCATCTGAAAACAGGCTGGGCAAGTAAGGAAGAGCGTTTTGGTTTTTTAAAGAAGCTCTGTTTATTTGTTTGTTTTTCAAGAATCAGTGTCTTTGTATATAGCCCTGGCTGTGCTGGAACTTGCTTTGTGAACCAGGGTGGCTGTAAACTCACCGAGACCCACCTGCCTGTCTCCCAAGTGCTGGGATTATGGGCATGTGCCACCAAGCCTGACTCATTCTTAGAGATTTTAACTAAGTTTGCCCACTTTTTGGCAAAGATGCATCATGTTAGACATGGGTTTTGCTTCAGACAGAATGCCATTCTAAGATATATTTCTGTTTGCTTATCCACATCCCAGCTCAGCTGTGCCAGTTCACCAGACACTGAGACCATTCAAAACAAATAAAAGGAGGAGAGACGAAACAATTGAGGATAAATGACACTAAAGGATGCACATTCAGCACTAGACCAAGGAAATACTCATACAGAACAAGAAGGAAGTTAGGGATTGGAGAATTAGGAACAAAAATAGCCATAGAAAGCCGGAAATCCAGAACTACTGGCAGCATACAGCCTTAGGAACCCTGGGAAGGCAGAGTTGTGCATAGACCCCAGCAATTCTCAGTAGTAAACAAATAATTTGAAAATGGAAAATTTGGGGTAAATAATTTAGAAACTTCCATATCAGTAGAGGCTGCCATAGTAGTTCATAAGCTATTTTTCATAGTATGCTTATTAATAATATATAATAAGAAGGCCATTTGCCTTCTCTACCAAATTTAGAATTGGTTATGTTAAAAGTGCATAGAGAGCTGGGCAGTGGTGGTGCACAACTTTCATCTCAGCACTTGGGAGGGAGAGGCAGGAGTATCTCTGTGAGTTCGAGAACAGCCTGATCTACAATGCTACAAAGAATCCCTGTCTTGAAAAAAAAAAAAAAAACAAGATAAAAAATAAAATGAAATAAAATAAAAGTGCATGGTCCTGGGAGTGAATCTACAAGGAGTTAGGGGTCAGAGTGGAAATTGAGTATAATCAAAATACATGGTATACATGAGTTTTTTAAAAGACGATAAGAAATACATTAATAATCAAGCATTTTGTGGTGGTGCATGCCTTTAATCCCAGCACTCAGGAGGTGGAGGCAGGTGGATCTCTGTAAGTTTGAGGCTAGCCTGGTCAACAGAGTGAGTTCCAGCAAAGTCAGGGATATAGGGAAACCCTGTCTTGAAAAACAAACAAAAAAACAAACATTAGTAATTCCACCAAACATGGATACCAGACAAAACAATGTAATGCATAACACAAACCGAGCATGAACACGTCAAAGACACAGAAATGGCCCAAGGTCCTCATCCTGGCTCACAAAAGCAGCCTAGTGTTTTCCCCCCCAGCTACAGTCTCAGATGTGCTATAGGAGACTCTCTCTTAGACATTAGAACAAGCCTCAGACTCACACCCACTGTCTGACAGCCAGTCACAGCAAGACCTCTCCAGAGTTGACAAGTAAAAAAAAAAAAAAATGGTGTCAGCCTTTGCTGATGTCTGCTGCTGAAACACTTTCCACTTTCCACTGGTCTTGGGTATGTTCCACTTCTGCAGAGGGACAGACAGACAGAGCTTAATCAGCCACAGGTGGAAAGTAGAGTCAAGCAGATCTCTGTAAGTTCAAGGCCAACCTGGGGTACATAGTAAGGTCTAAGATTGTCAGAACTACATAGTGAGACTCTATCATGAAAAGACGAAATAACAACAAAGAGTCTGGTTGAATTCCTCCTCCTGGAGAGCATCTGCATTTTCTTTCCAAGCAATCACTTTTCTGTCAGTCAGTTTCTATGAACTGAGGGGAGGAGGGGCATTGCAGGGCTCTATGAGAACTCCCCAGCACCAAATAAATTGTCTTCACAAGTAACAACAACAATAAAAGTGCATGTCAAGGCCTAGGGAGATGGTTAGGGGATAAGAGCTCTTGCTACACAAGCAAGAAGACCTGAGTTCAAATCCCTAATACCCATGTAAAAACCAAGCATGGCTATGTGCCTTTAACCCCAGTATTGGGGTTCCATAACACCCGCCATATGTTCTATACTCTTAGTCATCAGTTATGCATCTCGTGGATTATGAGTGGCGTCGTGAGCTCTCATTCATCCCCACAGGCAGACTGTAAACTTGTAAAGGTCAGGAATTTCCTTATACTACTTCACCACTAGTGGGTTGGATGGGTACCAGAAAGTCAGTATGCACCTGTTAATTACTAAGGACAAAGGAGAAAGGAAATGCCTACTCAGAATGATGTAAACAGCTGTTAAAAGAGGAGGTTCTGCACATCCTGGGCCTTGGGTTGGCACACCCTAACATCTATCCCATCTATGAGCTGCTGGAGTGTGTGAAGGAATTGGTCCTGTGGAAAGGTAATCACAGGATCTCCATGACTCTAGAAACGGCGGGATATCAGAGAGGAGTTCTGGTGAGGGTCCAGTGACGATGGTGTGCCAGAGGCCTTGAACCAGATCAATGACTCATTGCAATGGAAATGTTGCCGGTGGAGACAACTGGACAAAATGGTAAAGTGTGTGACCTGCTGCAGCTCCTGATGCCGCCAGGATGGATGAAGAGGTGTTGGAAAGATGGAGAAGCAAGGTAGAGGGGGTTGTTCTTTTGTTTGTAATTAATTTGGGGGACATGTTGCAGAGGTGAGGGGTAGAAATGGAGGGACCGGGAGGTAAGCAGGATTAGGGTGCATGATACAAAATTCCTGAAGAATCAATAAAGAATTATGTTTTTTTAAAAAGAGAAAGTCTAATTCTCTTGCCCATTTTTGTGCACATAACATGCCGTAATGTTTGTCTTTTAGATTCTATGAGCAAGGGTAAGTCAAATCTGCCATTTTCCCAAAACTTTAATCAACAGGATCAAGAGAAGGGATCAGGCCCATCCTCCACCTCTACTCCCAGTTCCAAGACTGTTAACCAGTATGGTAATGTAAACCATTAACCTCAAACTGGACTGTTGGTCATCCAGGGGATCAACAGATGTTGAGGAATGCATTTATACTCTAGAACTCAGGCTTAGAAAAATTGGTTTAAGAAGCTGGGTGATGGCACATGCCTTTGATTCCAACACTAAGGAGGCAGAGGCAGGTGGGTCTCTGAGTTCCAGGACAACCTGATCTACAGATCGAGTGCCAGGACAGGCTCCAAAGCTACACAGAGAACCCCTGTCTCAAAACCAAACAAACAAACAAAGCCAAACAAAACAAAAAACCAAAACAGTTAAACAATAGAATAGAGAGCTAGCTCAGTAGGTGAAATGATTGCCCCACAAGCTGAGGACCTGAGTTCAAGTCCCAGAAAGTTAGGGGTAGTGGCACATACACTGTTATAATTCCAACACTAGACAGATAGAGAAAGGCAGAGTTTTGGATTCCTGGCTAGCCAGCCTAGTCTACTTCATAAGCCCCAGTGAGAAACCTTGTCTCAAAAACCAAGGTTGATGGTTCCTGAAGAATGACACTCTACATTGCCCTTCTGCCTCCACACACATAAATACATATTCACATGAACACATACACACAACACTGAATTTTTAAAAAGATTTCATTTTTATGTGTGTATATGTATACATGTGAGTATGCACACGTGAAGTATGGGTGCTGGGAACCTAACTGGGGTTCTGTTGGAGATCAGGAAGTGCTTCTTAACTCCAGTCTGCAGATGATTGAGGCTCAGCTCAGCGCATTGCCTCGCTGCCCATTGCCCACCTGTTCCTTCTTCACTTTCCTATAAAGGCCTTGGTGCTTCTAGGTTCCCTACAGTGAACCTTAAGGGTGGCAACTTCTTGGCTCACTGCTTTCCCAAATGAATGTTTCTCCTTCCCCAGCAACCTGTCCCATTTACTGGGTTGGGGTGGAAAAATGAAAGAATTCAGTAATCCAGCCTGGTGGCTACTCTTGTCTGAGTTACAGAGTGAGGTCAAGGGTGCCCTGGGCAACTAAGTAAAGCCCTTTCTCAGGATAAAAATGTAAGAAGGCTGGGGATACGGCTCAGTGGGTGAGTGCTTGCTTGCCCCATGAGCATAGGCCATTTTGCCCCATATACATAAGGCCATAGGTTCAATTCCTAGTAAGGAGAAACAAATAGCACTGCTGATTCAGCACTACCTGTCTACAAAGAAAACAGTTCTGGTAGCAAAGGCGGTTGTCTACGAAAACCTTGTACTCTCTTACTGTAAGAACTGAAGGTTGAAGGGGGGGGGGGTCAAGGTCATGACAGGGGAACTCACAAAGAAAACTGACCTGAGCTCATGCGAGTTCACTGACTCTTAACTAGCAACTAGGAAGCTGCATGGGACCCACCTTGGCCCTCTACATATGACAATTGTGTAGCTTTGTCTGTTTGTGGCTCTTAGTGGGATCAGGTTTCAGGAACTGATCCCAAGCTGGGTTGCCTTGCCTAGCCTTGAAGCAGGGGAAAGAGCTTGATCCTGCCTCAACTTGCCATGCTGTGTTGACTCCCACAGGAGGCCTGCCCCTTTCTGAATGGAGTGGCTAGAGTGGATGGGGGTGGGAAGGGGGAGGTGTAGCAGAAGGGAAGTGGGGGGGGAGGGAACATGGGGAAACGAGGGAGGGAAAACTGTGGTATGTAGAATAAATGAAAAAAATTAATAGGAAAAAAAAAAAAACCCTGAAGATGGAATCTTTTATTTGCCTACTATTGTGAGTTTTCCTCCCGCCCCACCCCACCCTAACCCCTCCATTCCTACGTGCTATGAGACTGAACAAAGACAGGGAAACCCAACCATCCCATTGACTGGGCAGTGTTTTCCATGCCTAGAGCAATACCTGGTACACACGTGCTCAATAAGCACTGACTGAATGCTCAAATGTGAGCCGTCATAGATAGAGGGCTCTTGCTCCCAGGCACAGGCAGAGTTTGAGGCCTTGCTTGAATATTCCTTCAGCACAGCCATTCTATGAATCCCATGTTGAGAACCAGTCACTCTGAGCCAGCAGCTGCTCTGCAGGGGGGTGGGGGGAGGACGATGTTAACCAGGGAGATGGAGAGGGGGGGCGGCAGGAAGCTGGGTGAGCCGGGGAAAGAAGCGTCTCAGAAGAGAAAGGAAGCTACAGCTAATGGGGTGTGACAGCACAGGGGGTGTGAATGGATCCCGGTGACAGCAAGCCAGGTCAAAGGGAGCAGTGAAGCAGAGTGCTAGAGAACAGGGCTGACCAAAGGGGCTACGGGAGCAGCATGGTGGTGGTCTCAGGAGGGGGGTGGCAAAAAGAAAACAAAGCGCTTCCAAGTGAAATTGCTGGGTGGGCTGACATTTAGGGGCCTAGAGTCAGAGGCTGAGACAAAGAGAACGTCCCTCCTTATTTTAAACAAAGGAGTCCTGGGGGAGCTCCTACACTTGTGAATCACAGGCTTTACTGGGGCGGAGGGGCAGACCTTTGACTGCTTAGCCTACAGTGTCCTTGCAGATGACAGATGGTACCTTGTCATCCCCATTGGACGTAACTGCCTCATATTCCCAGTCACCTTCTCACCGAATCCCTGCCTAAGTCTGTCCGGTGACCACACTAAATACTTCTTCTTTTTTCTGTTAAGAAGCATACTGGGGGAGGGGGGAGAAGAAGCTCCATGGATGAATGCTTGTGCAAGCTCCATGGCCGCATTTTCAACGTGGCAAAGGAACAAACAGCATATATCACTTTGCCACTGGGAACAGAGAACTGGAAATTATATTTTTCCTGAAACAATTCTTCAACATTTCTACTTAAATTTATTTTTAGGGGACCATGGGGATGGCTCAGCAGGGAAGGATACTAATTTCTGTGCAAGCATGAAGATCTGAGTCAGAGCCCTGGATCCTTGGCTTGTAAGCCCAGGGTTAGGGGGTGCTGGGCAGAGACGGGGCCAGGGGAGGATTACTGTGGCTTCCATCAGCTAAAAGGGGGCAAACTTCAGTGAGAGACCCTGTCTCAAGGGAATAAGGTTGAGAATGATAGAGAAGGGCATTCAACATCCTCTTCTGGCTTTCACAGGAACACACACACAGACATGTACACACATGAATATACCACACACCAAAATTCTATTTTTGAGTGTCCAGACAGGCTCCAAAGCTACACAGAGAAACCCAGTCTTGAATGTGTGTGTGTGTGTGTGTGTGTGTATGAGGTTATAGTGGTGCCATTTTTAAATGTGTTCATAAGCACATAACTGACATAAGCAGAAGGATAATTGGAGCTCTGGATCAACTACCCAGACAAGGACAGCCAGAGTTTTAGTACTGCCTTGATTTGTGTTGGTAGGATCTATCAGTAACCAAGTTAGAGAGGAAAGTGCTCCAAAAGAGAGGAGCAGCCAGAGAAGGGCAAGGAGGCAGAGGGATTAGGAGGAGATGACCTTCTCCCAGAACTGCAATCTTGCTAGTTGGGGGAGACCCAAAAAGAGAAGTGGTGTCTAATCCTACTCTTAATTTTCTTTGTGAGTTTTAAGTAGTGGCTCCAACCCCCACCTCCCAAAACACGCACAAATGGCGTTTGTTGACTTACTACCTAGAAAGGGAGAACAGGACACCCACACAAACTTAGAAATGCCAGTGTTCCTGGAGTAAGATCAATGACCTAACATAGTTCCTATGTCTGCCAAGTTCACAAGGCAAAAATAAGAAGAAGAGAGTGGGCAGGGTTATGAGAGTAAAGGTTCTTGCTGCTAAGCATGGTGACATGTGTTCAGTTCCTAGGACTCACATGCAAGGAGAGAACTTCCACAATTTGCCTTCTGACAGACATGCTCATCACACACACACACACAATTAATAAATGTAATTTTAATATTTAAAGAACAAACAGAAGAATCAGGTGTGGCATCACATGCCCTTAAATCCCAGGATTCAAGAGGCAGAGGCAGGTGGGTCTCTGAGTTCCAGGTCAGCCTAGTCTACCTAGTTCCAAGACAGCCAGAGCTATATAGAGAGACCTTGTCTCAAAAGAACAGAAAAAAAAAAACAACAATAGTAAATTAATTAAAAATAAGCAGAATGAGAGTAATAAATTGTTCCTTGGAACCACCAACTCAGAGCAGAGAAGTTTCTTGTTGAAGCAATGAACTAGAAGGCATGTTCTGAAACATAAACCTAGAGATGGATCTTGCAAGAACCACGCAACGATTCAGCTTTTTTTTTTTGCATCTATGTAGCCCAGAAGAAACGGATCACATCTCAAACCTAGGGAAGGGTGCTTCTTTCTTTCATTTCTGGGTGGGGCACGGAGAAAGAGGTGCAAGTGGGCCTAAATTTATTTTTTTTAATCATTTATTATTTAGGCTCTGGGAACGACTGCAATTGTCTGTCCTCTCCCGACCCATACCCTCCTTTAGATTCCATCCCTGAAGACCTGGGTGTCTGTCTTCCCTTCAGCTATCCTAAGCCCTTCCCACTTCCTAGCCACCCGCACACAGCAGCTAGAGCCCAGACAGCTGGACGTCTGCTGTGGAAGGGCACAGCATGGAAACAGACCTGCAGTCTTTCTCTACACAGATGCCCTGGAGATTTCATTTTAATTAATGATGGGAGCTATGTATGGCCCCAGGATTGGATTTTCAGAACAGAGAATTTCCTCCCATTTCTTTTCTTTCCTCGCTCTCTCTTTTCATTCCCTTCTCCTTTTCCCCAATGCCATCAAAATTTAAAAATAAATACGAAAAATCGAACGAAGAGTCTCACCCACACGAGCACTGGGACCCAGAAGGGAGGCGGAGGATGCAGAGGGTTGCAGGCGGCCGCCAGGAGTGGTCCAGCTCTGGGAGGATGCCTAGTGCGTCGCGAAGGCGGGGCCCTGGGCGGGACCACGCGGGCACGGGGGCGTGGTCTGTTCAGTCACGTGGGGGAGGACCGCTGTTGCTCTGCTCTCTAAAGAGCCCAAGGTCTGTCCAATTCGCGGGGACAGACGCTCCACTGCAATGGACTCTAGGACTAAGGGTCAGAGCTGCCTAGCGACTGGGTTGCTGCAGAACCAAGTGGCCGTGGTTACTGGCGGGGCCACCGGCATCGGAAAAGCCATCTCCCGGGAGCTCCTGCACCTGGGTACGTGACCAGACTTCTGGAGCTAGAGTCCGCAGAGGTCTAGCTAGGTAAACTGGGTTCAGAAAGAGAGGGGGGCGCTGGTGGGGCAGGGGAAAGATTAAACTACGAGCTGCGGAGCTTGAGCTTTGCGAGGGACAAAAAAAAGGTGTTCTTCCCCAAAGCGGAGAAATGTTCGTAGATGAGCCACGAAGTATGAATGAAGTAAAGGGACTTAGAACCAAAGATTATACTGTGCCCGAAGTAGGAAATAACAAGACCTGTAAAAACATGCTATGGAATTAATTGTGTCTTCGTAAGGTTAATTGATTCCTAATTCCAGATTAGGCGTTATTCAGCAAAAGGTTGTCAACCTGATGAGAGAGAGGCTCTGATTGTTGCATCTTCTCACAACCCCTGTTGTAAACAAAGCAAGAGAAAAGAAAATTGAATATTTATTTAACTTAGAAGAAAGATCATGTAAGCAGACACGTAAGGAAAAAAGCCACCAAGAAGAAAATAGTTATATTTAATATTTATATATTTGAGAATGTATACACCCTCTTTGGGTTTAAGATTGAAAAGTTTAGCCAGGCAGTGGTGGCACATGGCTTTTATTCCAGCACTTTCGAGGCAGAGGCAGGTGGATCTTTGTGAATTCAAGGCCATCCTGGTCTACAGAGCAAGTTTCATGACAGCCAACGCTACACAGAGAAACACAGTTTGGGGAAAGAAAATAAAAGCGCAAAGTTTAGAAACATATATAGAAAAATTATTTGCAACATGACAGTTTTATTATGTGAAAGCTTTGACAAGTAGATTTTTAAAAATCTGACATAATGAGGGGGAAATTAACCAATGATATGATTCCAAGCTGAGCTAAACATAGGAAATAAATACTTTATCTTATCTTGCAAAAGAAAACAAGACACCATTGTATTTTTTCATTTTAACAACACTTCCAGTCTATCTGCCACCACGAAACTTTTCCCTGGAGGAAGAAATTAATGAGGAAGTTAATCAGTAACCATTTGGTGCAAAGGTTAAGACCTTGGCCTGAATCAACAGATTCATAGGATCTCAGTTCACCTTCCATAACCTTCCATGACTTTGTAGGTACTGAATATCTTTTTCAGTAAATTCGCATTAGGCAAACATTACACCGGTTCTGGGGTCAGGCAAGAGACTATTCTTGTGGCATGACTGAACTAGTAGGACAGTCATGTGCTCTGGAGATGCTATGAAAATGATGGAGTATGCCCCCTAGGGAACTACTTCCTATACCTAAAAGAGATGTAAACATTGTGTTGTTATAATTGAATTACCTTCCATGAGAAAACATGAAAAATTATTTTTAAAGATTGTTGTATTTTTATGTATGTGTTGGGAGCTGGAGCAGAGCAAATGAATCCGAGTGCAGGCACCCATGAAGGCCATGAAGGCCCCTGGGATTAGAGTTACAGGTGGTTGGAGCCACCTGGTGTGCATGGTGGGAAATGGGCTCCAGTCCTCTGTGGAGCAGTACATGCTCTTTTTTTCTTTTCTTTTTTTTTGTCTTTGTTTTTTATGCTAGAATTACTGGCTGTTTTCTGAAAGTTATTATAAAAACCCAAATTGGACATTTGAACATTATAAAAACATTAGCTGGGAGTTGGCAAGTTGGCTCAGTAGGTAAAGTACCTGCTGCCAAGCCTGGCCATGTAGGCTCAATCCTAAGAAGGTACTGACGTCCACAAGTTGCCCTCTGATCTCTGCACCATAGCATGCGTGCCAACACAGGTTTCAGATGGATCTTTCCGTCAGACTGATCCCACAGCCACATCATCTCCACATGAACACTCAGTTATGGTCCTCTCCCTGTCTGTCTGCCTACCAGGGAGTCTGTCAAACTCATAGTATTGCAGTAATATGGTTTATTCATAGGTCTCTCTTACACTTGCTATCTCTCAGAGGTGGCTGCTCTTTTTTTAGTTTCAAAGCATTTTTTTCCTGTGTGTATTTGTGTGTGTGTGTGTGTGTGTGTGTGTGTGTGTGTGTGTGTTTTCATCTAGCTTCTTAGTCTCTTCAGGCTAGAGAGTAAATTCAGTTCCTACTGTTCCATCTTATCCAAACCCATCCTAATTCCTCTTCCACCACTACCCCCCATCTTTTATAGGAATGTACAAAATACAAGTGGGGTTTCTCTGTGTAGCCCTGGATGTGCTGGAACTCACTCTGTAGACCAGGCTGGCCTTGAATTCACTGAGATCCACCTGCCTCTGCCTGCCAAGTGCTGAGATTAAAGGCGTGAACCATGGACAACTTTTTATTTATTTATTTATTTTTGTGCATAAGTGTGTTTTGCCTATATGTCTATCTATTTATCATGTATGTGCCTGATGCGTGTGAAGACCAGAAATGGGGAGTCAGACCCCCTGGAACTAGAGTTATCGTCAGTTATGAACTACCATGTGCATGCTGGGAATTGAACCTGGGTCTTCTGGAAGAGCAGCCTGTGCTCTTAACCACTGAGCTATCTCTGTAGCCCCCTTAATTTGGACAGCTCTTGGAAGCTTATTTCCTTCCTCTCTGGCTATTTTCTCCTTAGGGTGTAATGTGGTCATTGCTTCCCGGAAGCTGGACAGATTAAACTCTGCTGCACATGAACTGAGAATGTCCCTGCCTCCCTCAAGCAGTGCTCAAGTCACTGCCATACAATGCAACATCAGGAAAGAAGAAGAGGTGATATAAATAGCGCGGCACAGCATATTTACTCATTGCTCTTCCTAACCCCACCTAGCCATACTTAAAGGGGACGAGGACCACTAGAAGGCAGAGCTGTAAGAAGATCTGTGTGCTCCTGACTCACTGAGCTGCTGACATCAAAAGGAGGGTGGTGAAGCAAGGAAGGAAAGCTAAACAAGGATGTGCTTGCCTTAGACCCTTTAAGGCATTTCTTAGTGTTCTCTCTCGGCCTGTGTGTAGGAGTGTCTTGGTGACTCTTTGGTGTGTCTTGCTAGCAAAATTAGAATTTTGGTGTGAGATTTATGAGTATTGTATAGTGATCAGTTCACAATGTGGGATTTGGGGTCTTATTTACTGGTGGCTTTATGTATTCGGGGTGTGGTATTTAGACTTAATATGCATTGTAAGAGTCTACAGATTGCTTTATATCTTGAAACAAATGACTGGGCCATGTAGCAGGGAGCTATTAAACTTGTACTTCCAATGTTTCTTTAGGTGAATAATTTGGTCAACTCCACCTTAGCTAAGTATGGTAAGATCAACTTCTTGGTAAACAATGGAGGAGGCCAGTTCCTGTCTCCTATTGAAGACATCAGTGCAAAGGGATGGCAAGCTGTGATCGAAACGAACCTAACAGGCACTTTCTACTTGTGCAAAGCAGGCGAGTGTTTCAATAACCACAACACAGAGCAACAACAACAAAAAGAAAGCCGTGTCATTAGTGTCATTAGTGAGAAATCAAAGGGAATGCTGGAAGAGGAGCTGTTAGGGACACGGAAGACTGGTGTCAGTAACATTTGACCCGTGCTCCTATTGATCTGGTACCTTATCAAAATTTATATCTTATATTTGTGGTCTGTGTCTCTTTAGAATTTGTTTTTATTTTAGTAGTGTCTATACATGCATGTGCATTGTAGGTGCACAGCTGCATGAAGAGACAGGAAAGGCATCAGATTCCTGTACCTGGACTTGGAGGTAGTTATGAGTCACATAGTGTGGGTGCTGGGCACAGACTGAGTCCTCTACAAGATCAGCCAGTGTTTACCCCTTGAGCCATCTCACTAGCCCATGTCTTCTGAGTTTGATCCTTGTTTTGTAATTTTCTAAAGAAATTAATGTTATTTTTTTAAAAAAACTTGATGTTGGGACTGCCTAACATTAACTTAAAATGCCCCAAATTCAGGATTCTTCTTGTTCTGGTGATGATTAAACTTAGTTTAAATTTTTTTGCGGTGATGGCACACACCTATAATCCCAGTACTGAGGAGGCAGAGGCAGAGGCAGGTGGATCTCTGTAAGTTCGAGGCCAGCCTGGTCTACAGAGCTAGTTTCAGGACAGCCTCCAAAGCTACACAGAGAAACCCTGTCTGGAAAAAACAAACAAGAAAAGAAGAAAAGAAAAAAGATGTATGTTGGCGCAGGGTATAATAAAGGGAGAGTCAGCACACTGTTTAATATGTTTGCCTGTGTTCTACAGTTTACAATTCCTGGATGAAAGAGCATGGAGGATCTATTGTCAATATCATTGTCCTTATTAACAATGGGTTTCCAACAGCCTCGTAAGTATTTTATGTATTTTTTTCTTTCTATGCCTTTAGGTTTTGTTCTCTGGATGACGAACAGTAGTGAACAATGTCTTAAATCAATGATTCACCCCTTTAATAAATTGCAGCCCTAATAATTTCCTTTTAAAAGGCTGTTATTATTAATTCATGGAATTTGTCATACAATGTACTTTGATCATATTCATCTCCCATTTCCTTTTATTTGAAACTTTAAAAAATTGTGTGTTCTCGGAGGCCAGAGGTTAGCATCAGGCATCTTCGCCAATCCCTTTCCACCTACAGCTTTCTGACTTGGCTTGAATGGCTGGCTAGTGAGTCCCGGGGACCCTCCTGTCTCTGTCTTCCCCCTTGCTGAAATCACAAGGGTGCACTGCCATGCCTGACTTTTATGTGAGTGTGAGGATCCAAACCCACGTCCTCAAGCTTGAGCAGAAAGCACTTTACCTCCCTGCCTTTTCCCTAGTTGCTAATAATGCCCAT